CTTGACATCTAATGTTTCATTGTTATTTTAACCGTACAAAATGTACTGACGACATTGTTTGTGAAAGGGTTGAATCCTAGTTATTTCATACTAGAATAGAATAGATTCTACTGGCTACGATGACGGTATAAACGTTTTAATAGCCCGTTCAAGCTCAGGACAAAACCTATCGCCACGCAGCTACTCAAAGTAAGGTAAAAAGTTTCGACGTACAAACTCCGAACGGCATTTAAAACGCGTGACGGTGAGGTATGTAGGTTAGGTTCCTCGAACTCCTGAATGTGCCCAAACAGTTCGTTTCGGCGTACACATTCAGGGTTTGCTTTCGACTCCTAATACCCATCACATCACAGGAAGACGGTAGGATTTGAGGCTTTTTTGTAAACAAAGAGAGCTTCGGCTTCCTCTTTTATTGTTTTCAGGTAACATGTGTAAATTTGGTTAGTCTACACATCATTAATTTTCCATATTAGACCATAAAAACTCAACTACTCATCACGTCTAATAGTGACATTTTAGTTAGCTTTTATTGGTCATGCGTACATAGCTACAGTGTAGTTATGATGATGAAAATCTTTGGTCACAGGCTCCTCCAACAGTGCAACACAATAAAACAGATTAACAGAAAAAATTGTGAAAAGAAAAATAGTAAAATAGTGAAATTGTGCAATAAGAGTCTATATACAAGTGATTAGAATATGATATATTGGACAAATCATTTCTAAGTAGCAGCCAGATGAATGTTATGGATTTTGTTTTCAAAGTGCAGGTGTTTAACAGTCTTATGGCCTGTGGGATGGTCTGTAAGTCAGACAGACAAACCCAATAGAATTAGCACTGACTGACATCAAGTCAGAGTACGCTGCCCACATGTTATCTGGACTTAAAATAGGTTTTTGACAAGACTAAGGCTACATCGCTACCACCTCATCGACCTTATGACTGCCCTATTGACCTTTTGCCTGGAGCTTCGATCCCTAGAGGTCGGCTTTACTCCATCTCTGCACCAAAAAGGGTGGCCATGAAAACTTATATTGACTCTTCCCTTAAGTCTGGACTCATTAGACCGTCATCATCACCTGCGGCTGCAGGCTTTTTCTTTGTGGGCAAGAAAGATGGTTCTCTCCGTCCATGCATAGACTATAGTCCACTCAATGGAATAACTGTTAAGAATAGATACCCCCTCCCACTAATGTCTTCAGCGTTTGAACTGTTGCAGGATGCCCAAGTATTCACCAAACTGGACCTCAGAAACGCCTATCATCTCATCAGAATTCGGGAGGGGGATGAGTGGAAGACAGGTTTCAACACTCCTACATGGCCACTACGAATAGCCTATCTTGTGATTAGGGTTGCAAAGGGGCAGAAACTTTCCGGAAACTTTCCATGGGAAGTTAAGCTTCATATATTTTTCAACATATATTTCTTTTTACATTTAAAAAAAAAGAAGTAGAACAGAACAAATTTTAATTATTTTATTGAACAATTATTTGTTTCATTGAAGAACGAAAACAGGAATTTTGAGTTAAATATTACTCATCCCCCCCAACCCCACTCATTAAAAAATGAACAAAAATGTACCCCCCATCCAAAAATCCCCACAAAGTCCCATTCAAAATGTTAAATGAAAAGAGCCCTTCTCCCTCCAAAAAGTCCCATTAAACATGCAAATCTTCCTTCAAGCAATCCTCTCAATTTTTGCTAAACCCTTTCAGTGGGCTCTTCCTGGGCCTCATCAACATCCAACTCTGAGTCTTCCTCTGCAGTGTGACTGTCCAGCCTTGTTGAGGAATGAAGATGGCTCTGTGTCAGGCTCAGAGAGCCTTAGGTTTGCCCGAATGCCAACCAGTTTTTCCACTCTCACATTTGTGAGCCTGTTGCGAACCTTTGTGTGGTCTCAATAGCCATGCAATAAGCAGTGTGCTATGGCATGGATATTCAAGTGTACTTGAATGGCATCTGTTTGTTTTAGTCAAGATTATGCTAAAATATACTTTCCCCAAGAGCCAACGTTCAATTTAGAAAATTCCCAGTTTATTCCCATAAATTCCCGTTAATTCCCATGGAAAGTTTCCATCTTTGGACATTCCCGGAATTGTGCAACCCTAATTATTATACGGCTCTAGTCTGGGCGGGGAGTAAAAGGAGCACGTGGTGGTGAGGGTGGGTGGATCTGCAGGACATTCAGAGATGATGACCAATAACTCAGCCAATGTTTTATCATTTCTGTAGGAACATGTTGTTTTTTATTTGATGCACCTTCATCTCTTCAACAGTGCTAAATGTGTTGAACTATCAATACATAACTGTTCACTTTTAAACAAAATACACAGTAATATTAAGAAAAAACATATTTTTAGCAATGGGAGCGTGTGAAATAAGATTAGAAACTAATTCACCAGCCTTGCAAACCTGCACAAGTGTTAGAATATACCTCTGCTCAGGTTTAATTATGCCTAACTATGTTGAGTAATCTAATTTGAATTTAATTAATTCAGTCTTTCAAACCCATCAATTGAGTTGCTTTGAACTTTTGAATGTGAACTCCTCTAAATGACCAGACATAAAAAGGAGGACATTGTAATCTTCAGTGGGCACCATGGCCATGTGTCAGCTGCTCTTTCAGGTAGTGTGGGAGACAAACTCTCTCTAGATTTCAGCTTTTGCAAACCATATACATGTACAAAAACCTATACACACTACAGGAAAGGGAAACCCCCAAAAAGCATATGATGGCCTCTTTAAAGTACTAAGATAAAGCTGTTTGTAGCTCACAGAGCTCTGTCCACACGGCTTCTAAAGCGCTCAGAGCACCAGGGAGAAGACACTCTGACAGAAGGGCTCAGATGGAGGCTGTTGGACGTGTTAAGAGCCAGCAGGGACAGGCAGGTGCAGGCTGACTTTCTATAACAGATCGAATGGGATGGCTTGGAGTTAGCGCTGATAAAGGCCCTCGGGAGGAGGGGGAGGGGGGGCAGTTGCTCAACTGACGAGGCTTTAACGAGAATAGCATACAGACACACACAGATGACCTGCAGAGTGGATAGACCCAAGCAGCGAGCGAGAAGCTGCAGGCCAACAGAACATATCCAGGAGCCTTTTAGCCGACATCATTTGAACAGAATGAACGTTGGCTCGCTTATAGATGTTTGCAACATCAGTTTTACATGAAATGCACACAATCTCCAGACAAGCATCAAGTTTATCGTGAATGATCAGTGGAGGGAGAAATACTCAGATCCTTAACTTAATTTCATTCAGCCCAAAAGTGCCTACTTTATGTATAAAGTACCAAGTAACTGTACAAAAACGGCTCTTTTTTTACAAGGGTTATGTTATTAATAATTATATTTTCATCACTAAACATGTCCTTTTAATTTTAAGTGTGATTTGTAAAATGGTGAACTATTTAGGAACTTCCCCTAAATACTATAAGATATTATAAGATACCAGTCCTGACTTCATTATTATTTTTTAGAATAAATTAAATAGTAACTATGAGTGTTGATTAAATGTATAGGGTTCATTGCTTACATGCAATGAGAAAGTACTAACATTAAATTGAGAAATACTTGTTGCAGTGTCAGAGAATATTTCGCCCTACATGTTTAACCTTTTGCCCTGTGACCAGCTGACCACCTTCACCCGCACCCGTTGTCTCACCATAAGAGGGGCTGCCCTAAGTTGGTTACCAGTTATGCCCGGGCACTCTTTTTTCGAGAGTTTGTTGTGGGACACCTGGAAACATCTTACTGGTCTAAGAGACCCGAGCCATCGACACAAAATGTGTTCATGTCTCAGCTGTTTAGTCATATCATTGACAAATGTTGATTATTACACTTCCTGAATTAGTTAAAACCTCGAGCACAGAGAGTGGGCGTCAGAAATTGGTCCTGACCACACAGGTTATGAGATGCCACGAACCAATTCTGAAGAACTCTCCTGTAGCTCGAGGTTTTAACTAATTCAGAGTGTATATAACAACATTCTTCCAAGTAGATAAGACTAAACAGCTGAGGACACTGAGCACATTTGTTGTCGCTAATGGCTCGGGTCATCGTACACCCCGATGAGGATGTGTTCCGGTGCTCACACAACCAATAACTTCTCTGAAATAAGTTGCCCGGTCATCAATCTGTAACAACAAATTAGGGCAGCTCCTTATGAGAAGCACAACGAGGCTGCTCGTAGTTGGTCAGCTGCGTCACAGGGCAAAGGTAAACTGAGCTGGGCGAAATTATTCATCTGCACATTTGAACTTTACTCACAAGTATCCATATTTTATGTTTTATGTACTCTACACATCGCATTGTGAAGCATTAATATATGGAACTCCATAACATTTATCAAACACTCATATTTAATATTTCTAAATATTAGCAGGACAGATTTATCAATTATAATAATCTTAGTATTTCAGGAATCTCTAAATAGCTTTCACATTTACTCCCATTATTAAGGAATTTTAGTGTGAATATTATTATAATAACATACCTGTAAAAAAGAGCACGTTTTTTGCTACAGCTACTGAGTACTTTTTATACATTAGGTAGGAGCAACTTTGGCTGAATGAAATTAAGATTAAGGAAACTGAGTATTTTCCCTCCACTGTGCATTCACGATTTAAACTTGTATTGCCTCGCTATCCTAGATACTGAGTGTAGAACATTTCATGTAAAACTGAGTTGTCAACCAAGCGGCCAACTCATTTCAGTCATGAGATCGACTAAAGCCTCCCTGGTATGATTCTGTTGGCCTGCAGCTTCTCGCTCGCTGCCAGGTCATACCACTCTGCAGGTCACTGCGTGTGTGCCTGTATGCTATTCTCGTTAAAGCTCGGTCAGTGAAGTCAAGCTGCCCCCCCCCCCTCCCCCCCGAGGGCCTTTATCAGCGCTAACTCCAAGCCATCCATTGATCTGTTATAGAAAGTCAGCCTGCACCTGCCTGTCCCTGCTGGCTCTTAACACGTCCAACAGCCTCCATCTGAGCCCTTCTGTCAGAGTGTCTTCTCCCTGGTGCTCTGAACGCTTAGAAGCCGTGTGGACAAGCTCTGTGGAGCTACAAACAGCTTTACTTAGTAACTGCTTAAGAGGCCATCATATGCCTTTTTTGGGGGTTTCCCTTTCCTGTAGTGGTGTATAGGTTTTTTTGCACATGTATATGGTTTGCGCAAAGCTGAAATCTAGAGAGAGTTTGTCTCCCACACTACTGAAAAGAGCAGCTGACACATGGCCATTGGTGCACTGAAGATTACAATGTCCTCCTTTTTAATGTCTGGTCATTTAGAGGAGTTCACATTCAAAAGTTTCAAACAACTCCAATTGAATGGTTTGAAAGACTGATTAAATTAAATTCAAATTAGATTACTCCAACATAGGTTAGGCTAATTTACCGAACCTGAGCAGAGGGTATATTCAACACTTGTGCAGGTTTCGCAGGCTGGTGAATTAAGTTTCTAATCTTATTGTTACACGACCTCCCATTGCTAAAATATGTTTTTTTTCTATATTACTGAGTATTTTGTATTAAAAGTGAACAGTAGTTCAACAAATTTAGCACTGTTGAAGAGATGAACGGTGCATCAAGATGAAAAACCAACATGTGCCTACAGAAAAAAAATGAGAAAACATTGGCTGAGTGTATGGTCATTCATCTCTGAATGCCTGCAGATCACACCACCCTCACCACCCGACGTGCTCCTTTTACTGCCCCGCCCAGACTAGAGCCTATAATAATGTAGGGTTCGGCACAATTCCGGGAAGCTCCCAAAGATGGAAACTTTCCCATGGGATCTCAACGGGAATTTATGGGATAAACTGGGAATTTTCAAAAATTGAACGTTGGCTGCTTGGGGAAAGTAATATTTTTAGCGATAATCTTGACTAAAACAACACAGATGCCATTCAAGTACACTTGAATCTCCATGCCATAGGCACACTGGCTTATTGCATGGCTATTGAGACCACACAAAGGTTCGCAACAGGCTCACAAATGTGAGAGTGGAAAACTGGTTGGCATTCGGGCAAACTAAGGCCTCTCTGAGCCTGACATAAGGCCCATCTTCAATTCCTCCAACAAGGCTGGACAGCACACTGCAAGGAAGACTCAGAGTTGGATGTTGATGACCCAGTGAAGAGCCCACTGAAAGCCTTTAAGCCAAAAATTGAGAGGATTGCTTGAAGAAGATTTGCTGTTTAATGGGCTATGTTGAGGGAGAAGGCGCTTTCATTTAACATTTTGAATGGAACTTTGTGGGGAGTTTTTGGATGGGGGGTGCATCTTGTTTCAATTTTTAATGAGTGGGGTTGGGGGGGATGAGTAATATTTAACTCAAATTCCATGTTTTCGGTCTTCAATGCAAACAAATAATTGTTGCAATAAAATAATTAAAACTTGTTCGTTCTACTTTTTAAAAAAAAATTCATGTTTTTGTGTTAATTTGCATCGAATATTTCCCAAAATTCCAAAAGCTTCCCATGGAAACTTTCCGGAAATGTACCAGAATGGTTCCGCGCCTTTGCAACCCTTAAACACGATGACCGAAAGTGAGAGACTGAAAGCAGACAGATTTGCAGCACAGCACCGCGTTAGATAAATGATCCACTAGCGACAGAATGAGCCAGGATGTAGCCAAGGTTACAAAGTGCAACCAGAGAAAAACTCGAAGGTTGACTCTACTGCGCGGTGAGTTTTATTAACTGTCTGTATTATTTTTCCTGGTAAGTACTTCCTCCTCCTGCTGTTATAAACCACTTGTCTTTTTCCCGCCCTGCACTGGAGAGGTGCAGCCCGGTGAGTTTTTGGGACGTGGTGGTGCTGACGGACTGTGGATGAGAAACCAGATGAGCAGCTTATGAGCTGCAAAGAAGTACAGAGAGAAGCGCTCAGAAAAGAGCCCTTCACGGTCGGAGTTCCAGATACAAAGTGTTCGGAGACCCGCCCTGGGATCTAAAATAGGTGAGCGACTATGGAGTCTAAATTTTCCTGCCATAACTCCACAGGTTTGCTCCAACCATTGTTCTTACAAATCCCTCATGATTCACAACAAACACAAATGTGGTTTGCCAAATACAAAACACCATCTACAAACTTAATGCAGTAGTTTTTTGCAAAGAAAACAGGTATCTATTCAAAATAAGATAAATACACATTTTTCTATAACTCAATGTTTCCGAGAAACACTTCAGCTCTAAAGCGACTAGACGGTTTTAAGTTGCCACTTCTTTCTACTCTGTTGCTGAGGATCAACAAAGTACAGCATTTAATAATTTGTAACTAAATGACCTTGTGTTTAATTAAAGGGAAATGGAGGCTCCACTTTGTATGCCCGCAGCAGCTGAAGATAGTCTATGGGAAGACTCTGTCGCAACTGCAGGGTCACCTCATCCGATGCAGGTTTTGGATATTGTCAATGACTTCTTGTTTTTGTTGACGCAATTTAAAACAAAGTAGAATAAAGTTTTTTGCTGGCACTTTGTGTTTGTGTCTCTCCGCCTTCTGTCTACAGAGGAGGGATTCAATTATCAATGTAATTAACAGAAATGATCTCATGCAACCAAAATACACATGTGACATATTTCCATATCAATAATGGTAGAGATTCTTGCAAAACTTGATCCTTGCCATATTGGCAATTTCCATATCCAGCTGCCCTGAAAACGTAATCTGATTTTAAGGCAAACATGGAGGAGGAGAACTGATATCTGTAAAACCAGCATTTGGAGACATATTGGTTTATATAAGTACGTATTTGCAGCAGCAATTTAGAACAGCTTTTTGAAATAGAAAGGCATCAAAATCCTTCATGAAAAGTCTGGTCTATTCCGT